ACTTTCTATGAGGTCTTCTACTAGAATATCTGAATACTGCACTACAGACAATCCCCCTCTGGCAGCACCATGTGGACGGTCCTGTCCATTTGGCTAGGATAAACAAGCACATGGCTCAAAAATGAGCAGTGCCCAGAAAGGAATTGGCTGAAACACCATCTGCAGATAGCACATTCACTTCCTTTCAACCTGTGCACTGCCTGGATTGACAAAGAAAGCCTATGAATTAATGTGTCACACATTGGTGGCCACAACTGCCGGCAGCAGAAACCCAAGAAAGAAGAGGAGCAAGAAAGTGAACCATCGTGAAAGGACGGGCCCCTGCATGGCATGTAGCAACAGCAGAAGAAGTGGCTGAGAAATCTTACCAACAGCTGGAGCTAACGACAGCACAGAGACACTGATCACAGCACAAGAACAAACTGTAAGCACAAGATCGATAGAGACTGGGGTCTACCCCAACAGGGAAGACCCTAAGTGTAGGCTGTGCAAAGCTGCCCCTGAGACAATCCAGCACAGGGGTGGGCAACTCCAGGCCTCGAGTGCCGGTGTCCTGCAGGTTTTAGATATGTCCTTGATCAAACACAGCTGATTCAAATGGCTAAATTACCTCCTCAACATGTCTTGAAGTTCTCCAGAGGCCTGGTAATAAACTAATCATTTGATTCAGGTGTGTTGACACAGGGTGAGATCTCAAACCTGCAGGACACCGGCCCTCGAGGCCTGGAGTTGCCCACCCCTGAGATTCCAGCACATATTAGCAGGGTGCAAGATGCTAGCAGGCAGGGCATACATGAAATGCCACAACCTAGTGGCTGGCACAGTTATATTTGTGCCACAAAACCAACCAATCACAGACTTGGATGCAAACAATTCTGATTGGCTGTTTTGGTCTCCAGTCAGCTCACTAGCCACTGTAGCTAAACCCAGGCAAATATCCCAGAATGCATTTTGGCCAAAGCTCAAACGAGGCAGTTGCTGTCAGGGTCCTGGGTCTCCTGACCCAGCGTTTTTAGTTCTTTGTGATTTTTTTGTATTATTGTACTTGTGTGTGATTTATTCTATGGTTTCTAGTTTT